TGTCCGGCACCCGCCCAGACCCCCCTGTGGAGTCATCTGCTGCTCTCTTTTGACCCCACTAGAAACCTATCAGAACAAGCTGTTAGGTAAAAATCCAGTTGTAGAATTCTGCTGTTCTCGCAGTCGTAGTCGCATTCGCGATGACAGTCGCAGCGGCAACGGCAGTCGCAGTCACAGCCTCAGCCTCAGCCTGCCTCAGCCTCAGCCTCAGCCTGCCTCAGCCTCAGCCTGCCTCAGCCTCAGCCTCAGCCTGCTTCAGACTCAGCCTCAGTCTGCCTTCAGCCTCGGCCTCAGCCTCAGCCTGCCTCAGCCTCAGCCTGCATCAGCCTCAGCCTCAGCCTCAGCCTGCCTCAGCATCAGCCTGCCTCAGCCTCAGCCTCAGCCTGCCTCAGCCTCGGCCTCAGTCTGCTTCAGCCACAGCCTCAGTCTGCCTTCAGCCTCGGCCTCAGCCTCAGCCTGCCTCAGCCCCAGCCTGCCTCGACCGCAGCATCAGCCTGCCTCAGCATTCAAAATGTGGCCCAGGAATGGGAGTTCTGGGAAGTCGAAGAGCACGAAGTTGCTTACAGTTGGCTACGGGCATTCAAAATGTGGCCCGGGAATGGAGTTCTGGGAACTCGAAGAGCACGAAGTGGCCTACAGTTGGCTCCGGGCATTCAAAATGCGGCCCGGGAATGGAGTTCTGGGAACTCGAAGAGCACGAAGTGGCCTACAGTTGGCTCCGGGCATCCAAAATGTGGCCCGGGAATGGAGTTCGGGGAAGTCGAAGAGCACGAAGTGGCCTACAGTTGGCTCCGGGCATCCAAAATGTGGCCCGGGAATGGAGTTCTGGGAAGTCGAAGAGCACGAAGTGGCCTACAGTTGGCTCCGGGCATTCAGAATGTGCCCGGGAATGGAGTTCTGGGAGGTCGAAGAGCACGAAGTGTGTGACTGTTGGCTTAAAACGACTTCTGCGGCACCCTGTCCGGCACCCGCCCAGACCCCCCTGTGGAGTCATCTGCTGCTTTCTTTTTAGCCCATTAGAAACCTATCAGTCTTCGCTGTTAGGTAAATTATCCCGGCAAAGCAACCTAACAGCGATGTGTAGAAGCATATCTGAAAGCATTCCCCTTAAGATTCAGATGATTATCCCGGCAAAGCAACCTAACAGCGATGTGTAGAAGCATATCTGAAAGCATTCCCCTTAAGATTCAGATGAAAATCCAGTTGTCGAATTCTGCTGTTCTCGAAGTCGTAGTCGCATTCGCGATGACAGTCGCAGCGGCAACGGCAGTCGCAGTCACAGCCTCAGCCTCAGCCTGCCTCAGCCTCAGCCTCAGCCTGCCTCAGCCTCAGCCTGCCTCAGCCTCAGCCTCAGCCTGCTTCAGCCTCAGCCTCAGTCTGCCTTCAGCCTCGGCCTCAGCCTCAGCCTGCCTCAGCCTCAGCCTGCATCAGCCTCAGCCTCAGCCTCAGCCTGCCTCAGCATCAGTCTGCTTCAGCCTCAGCCTCAGCCTGCCTCAGCCTCAGCCTCAGTCTGCTTCAGCCTCAGCCTCAGTCTGCCTTCAGCCTCGGCCTCAGCCTCAGCCTGCCTCAGCCTCAGCCTGCCTCGGCCGCAGCATCAGCTTGCCTCAGCATTCAAAATGTGGCCCAGGAGTGGAGTTCTGGGAACTAGAAGAACACAAAGTAGCCTACAGTTGGCTCCGGGCATTCAAAATCATGCCCAGGAAGGGAGTTGTGGGAACTAGAAGAGCACGAAGTGGCCTACAGTTGGCTCGCTTCTGGGCATCCAAAATGTAGGCCCGGGAATGGAGTTCTGGGAAATCGAAGAGCACGAAGTGGCCTACAGTGGCTCCGGGCATCAAACTGTGGCCCGGGAATGGTTAGTTCGAGGAAGTCGAGAGCACCGAGCACGGAGTGGCAGACAGTTGGCTCGGGGCACCAAAATGGGGCCGGGAATGGAGTTCTGGGAGCACCAAGAGCGATTTTGCGAGAATGTCCCAAGCGATTTCGGCTTCGGCGGCAGCCTCCCCGGGCAGCCTCCCCGGGTCCCGCCCAGACCCCCCTGAGGAGTCATGATGCTCTCTTTTGAGACCATTATCCCGGCAAAGCAACCTAACAGCGATGTGTAGAAGCATATCTGAAAGCATTCCCCTTAAGATTCAGATGAAAATCCAGTTGTAGAATTCTGCTGTTCTCGCAGTCGTAGTCGCATTCGCGATGACAGTCGCAGCGGCAACGGCAGTCGCAGTCACAGCCTCAACCTCAGCCTGCCTCAGCCTCAGCCTCAGCCTGCCTCAGCCTCAGCCTGCCTCAGCCTCAGCCTGCCTCAGCCTCAGCCTCAGCCTGCTTCAGCCTCAGCCTCAGTCTGCCTTCAGCCTCAGCCCTGCCTCAGCCTCAGCCTCAGCCTCAGCCTCAGCCTCAGCCTCAGCCTGCCTCAGCCTCAGCCTGCATCAGCCTCAGCCTCAGCCTCAGCCTGCCTCAGCCTCAGCCTCAGTCTGCTTCAGCCTCAGCCTCAGTCTGCCTT